TACGAAAATAAATTTATTACACGAAAATCGTGTTATATTTCCGTCTTAGCGAGGGTTTTCATCAACTTTCATTACAAAAACGTGTCCGTTTCCGGCTTGGCGAGGTTTCCGTCTTAGCGGGATAAAATTATATGCAATTTGAAACGAAACCAAAAAAATATTCCGTAATACCGGGGTTTCCGTCTTACCGAAGTTCCGTTTTAGCGAGGTTTTACTGTATAATTAACCCAGGCTTGAAACTACCTAAAAAAGTTTTATTTTTTTAATTTTAAGAAAGATAATAAAATTTTGCAACTAATTAATTTAATAATATTGATATTTAACCAACAAAGAGATTTAAAGTTTTGCTTTCATAGTTTCATCCATAAAATATAAACTGTTTAAGTATATTAAAATAATTGTTTTATTAAGGTAGGTTACACTGTATAAATATAGTTTATAAGTACCAATTGTACTTAAGTTAATAATTTTAATAACTGGCTACTATTTTTCGCAAAATTATTTATAACACTATCAGTGTTAATTTGAATATCTTGTTCGCATGCAATGCGCATTAAGCCCTCTAATCTAGACTCAGCCATAGTTGATCTCAATCTAGTTTTTACTAGCTTAAGTTTTGAGAAACTGCGTTCAGTAGAAGCACTGGAAACAGGTAATGTCACTGCAATTTTGACCAGCATGTAAATATTTGGTAGTGTAAATCTGATATTTGAACTGCAAAATATTTTAAATATATAAATAAGAGAGTTGCTATTAGTAAAATCTTCAATATGGTCTTTAAGAATTAATTCTTCGTCAGACTCAGAATCAGAATCATGGGATTCAGAATCAGAATATGTTTTATTATCCTTATGAAGATATTTTGGTAAACAAATGGTTTTTTCTAGATCAGAAAAACAACTAATAAGCCATATAAATTCTGTCTTTAATATTTCTGCATTGAAATACTTTGAATATATTGATGCTACGTCTTCAAATGCATCACTAGGTAGTTTTTTATTATCCATTTTTATTTCTAAAATTCTTTTTTTAGTTATTAGTGATAAATCTTTAAATATAGACAGTGTTGATTCATTAAATTTTTGATCGATCTGACTGCATATGATATCAAGCACTACATAAAAAGTGTGATACTTAAAATTAGTCAAAGGGTCAGAAATTTCAGAAGTTGGTTCATCTATTGCTTGTTCTCCAGGCATCATTTTTCTTTTTCTTGATCGTTTTTGTGGTAAAGGAGTAAAATGTTCATCTTTATGATTTTCAATGAATTGCTTCACTTCGATATCAATTGATTTAAAGTCTTCGCGGAGCTTTAATAACTGTTCTCTTTTAGATCTTATCATTGATGATGCTGTTATAAGGTCTACATCTATTGCTTGAAAGGTTTTGCTCAATGGATCAAGTACAGAAAAAATATGTTTAAATAAAAAACATGTATACAGAAATCGTTCAGATTGGAAATATGAAAGAAATGATGATGCATCTGATGAAGCTTCTGATGTCCTGAGATCTTCCAGAGTATCAACTAAAGATTCCCAAGTCAGTAAAATTGTACCTAAAGCTGTAGAATGGCTACTCCACCTAGTGGTAGTTACACGTTTCAAACGACGAACTGGTGATTTGGGATTACGAATTTTTTGATTTTTTTCAAAAAGAAAAACACGATTTTTACTGCTACATATAAAGTCAAAGACTTTTCCCAAAATTCCAAAGAAATCAACTGCTTCAAGGCAACTTGCAACACCTTGTTCCACAACCAAATTCAGACGATGAGCCCAACACCAAATATAAATAGCGTGTGGATTTTCATTTTTAATTTTAAATTGTAAGCCATTATACTCACCCCTCATATTAGCTGCACCATCATACGACTGTCCTATTAGGTGTTTTTTCCAATTAAGGCAAGTTTTATTAAAAACTTCTTTGAAGATATTAAATAGTGTTTCACTTTTAGTAGATGCAGTGGAAGACATTGCAAGTAAACGTTCATAGATCATACCATTGCTTTCATCAACATAACGCACTATGAAAGACACCTGTTCTTGTCTAGATATGTCAAACGTAGTTTCAACAGATATGCTGAAAATACAAGCAGCTTCAACTTCTTGTGAGATCGAATTGTTAATTGAATTTGAAATAGCATCAATCAACTGATTTTGTCGTTGCCATGATATTAATGATGTAATAGATTTTCCCTTATCTTTTAAAAGAGTAATATATGATGACAATACAGGTGAATATTCAGCTAATAAAACAACTAGATCTTTAAAATTTCCACGGACAGAATCTGTCCACTTTTCTTTATGGCCTCTAAACGCAAGTCCATGTTTTCCTACAAATAGGGTAATATCTATCAGTTGTTTGACAACTAATCTGTTATTTTGAACATCAAATTTCTTTTTTTCTTCTAACGCTGGTAATATTGGGGAACATTTCTCATGTATAGTTGCATCGATTGATGCAGCTATGTGTAATGTGTATAGAGGAAGTTTCATGGAATGTTAGCATATGGTTTCCATCCTTCCAACGAGAACACCATCATAAACCCATGCTTTCTTAGGAGATTTACCGAATAACATGCAATAAAGGCAAAATACTTTGTCACATGAAATTGAATATGATAACCATTTACGAAATCCTATAGATCCATCAGGTAAAGTTCTAGTGTACCACTGAGGATGAAAACTGTATTTGTTAGTTTTTGGGAACTTCTGAAATGGCATCTGCTGAGATGTTGGTTGAGATGCACCCAAGTTTAAAATATAATTTTTCTGTTCAAAACTCAATCTTTTGTTGGTATTTGAAAATCTTACAGGATCGTTTTCTTTTCTTGAATCACTTTGTCCTTAAAACAAAATATGCATGCATTAATAAAAGTATAAATGGTTAATCACTAACAAGGAATACATGAGTTCAATTCACTATGTATTATATTAAACGTAACAGTTAAATGAATTATTCAGAACGTATAGTTTGCTATGTTATGTGTTTGTAAGACTGAGACATAAAAAGGATATACACATAATAATATATTGACATTCAAAACATTCAACTCACTTGCTATCAATAGTTGAGTTCAAAATATTATCAGTTTGATTTAAACAAAGCAAGTTACTAACCATAATCAGTGTTTGGAGATGGTATCGGTCCTTCGGCTTCTTTCTCCGTCAATATAATATCATCATCAGAAATGTTGGTAGGATCATTTGAAAGTAATTGATGATCTACAGAATTAAAAAATATATAGGTATTATAGACGTATAGTATTTTATACTAAAACTAAAATATAAAATATACCGAAAATAGGCAAACTTATGAAACAAATTACTTAAGTTATTTAGGTTAAGTCAACATTAATAGTTAACAAATAATATATTTTTCTCTAAAAGTTTAAAGTTATTAAGGAAAAAATGATTAACTTAACTCAGTTAAAAATAAAATAACTTATTTGTTTATAATTGCCATCTGGGTACAACATATAGTGATAGTGCAACTTATAATAATTTTAAAATAATAACTTATTTTGTAAAATATGTATCTTATCTTATTCCTTCTTCTTACACACCTATGTATTATGTATAAACTATAAATATGATTTTAACTTCACTAATTATTTTGCATATCAACTGGATAAATCGAATTAATTACTATAGTTCAATTAACTATAATAGTTTAGTTATATTTATTATAAATTAAGTTGATCAGAAAATATACTAACTATTTATGGTTATATTTCAAATTTATTCAAAATATGTGAATTTGATTATAAACAGAATCATTATTACTAACCGTAATCAGTTATTGGAGATGGTGCTTCACTTTTTTCTTCCATCAATATATTTTCATCATTGCTTTTATTTTTATTGAAACTGTCCAATTCAACTAGTTTATCTGCAGGGATAATTTGTATATTTATTTTAATACATTTTTATTAAATTACAGAACATGAATATAATGATGTAGGTACCTTGGTACAATGGTACCTATATAATTAGTATAATATAACAACCTGAATCAAAATGATTTGTGCTCAATTCAGATGAAGCAATATATTGCATCTGACTTAAATTTTCACTGGGACTGGATACAGCTGTAGTCGAATTTTTGCACGTCAATTCTAGTTTATCATCTTTAAAATATAAATTTCACATAATCACATGATTAAACAGACATATACAGTAATACAGTGACATAGCATACTAATTTTAAAGTCAGAATTAATATATTAAAAGAGCGAAATAAAAACACTAATGAACACTAAAAACAAGAATAAAATGTACATACTGGATGTCTTAACTGTACTCAAAGGCGGTGAAGAGGCATCTATGTTAACCATCATCATATCACTTTGTTGAACAGCTTAAATAATTTAAATAAATATTATTTTATTCATATAAAAATATTAAGGTACACGAACTTACAGAGAATTTAGTTTTTATTTAATTAAAGAATACTTACAGGTAGTTTTATTTATTTTTTTAAAAAATCCATCCAAATTAACTTTTTGTCTTTTATTTTTTTTTTGACATGATTCGATGTGTCTTTTCCAATTTGTATCATTTTGATTATTTCGATCACGTCGACAAAACTCACACGTCAAATTCATAATTAATAACTTAATATATTAAAATATTTTTATTATTAGAAAAATAACGAAAAAAAACAGACACGAGAATTTCAAATGAAGAACACGAGTAAAAATACTTTTAAGTTTTAACCATTTAAGTATTTAACCATACAAGTATACGACTATTACACAAGACTTCAAATGTGCAAACAAATTATTTTTGTCTCGTTAGTGGTTAGTCGTTTCATTATATTTATCACAAACTAGTTTATACCATAGAGTATGGACTGTGATATCAATATAATATAATCCGTATTATTTTTATGTATTTCCAAATTATTTTCTAAAAATAGCTGCTTCTGCAGTAATTACTGTCCAACGACAGAACGTGCAGCCCCACCACCGGGCATATAAATGTGTTAAGGCGAAGCGGGTGGAGGTAGAATGGGTGACTGGTTATCATGCGTCGGTGCCGGGTTCGGCCGTCTTATGCGACATGCGTGTGTAGACGTGTTCCTTTAACGTGTAGTGTACAGATATTAATATTGATCATTACTTATTTATTAGTGATTAGTTATTAGTGCCTACTGCCTATCATAATTTATAGCGCATACTGCATACAGGCTACAGCATAAACTGTCTCTCGACTATAACTGAGTCTTGCACTCTTGCTTATTTGTTGTCTGTAAACAATTTAGACTTTAGTATTTATACAAAATTACAACTATATTATATAACAAAAGCAGTCACTCATGACCCACCCACCCACCACCTAAAAAAGTTCTGGGGTATTTACCCCACTTGCCCTACGTGTTCGGCGCCACTGCTTATCCCAACTTGTTTTTAAATACTCTTGTTTTTCTAATATGACTTTTCGTTGAATATTGTAAATATTTTTATTCATAGCATTATTGCATTTTATGTTAGTTTCTACTTGAATTTGTTGTAACACATTAATTACTTGATATATATTTGGATGGGATGAATAAAATTGAGAGTTATTATGTGCACGGAATGATTCGGCTCCATTTGTTGTGTTTGGATCATTTTCAAGTTTCCTTGCCCATAAATAAGGAGGGAAAATAGCATCCTCTGTAATATATGTATCAAGTAATATAATCTGTAAATTCAATGTTTTTTTTTGAGTTTTTGGAGCAATTGACATAAGCTCTATAAAACCAATAAAATAAAATAAAATAAATAATAAAATAATTAGGTAATTTTTATAATATTACGTACATTGACTTATGAATATGAACACTTTAAAAAATATAATATAATAATAAAGAAGAAAAGACAAAGTGATGTAAAGTTTTACCATAAATAAATTAGTAATACATTTAGTTGATACAGCATTATCGCAATCAAAAAATACTGTTATATATATAAGTAACATTCAATTTAGCAATAACTTACAAAAAAGAATAAAATTAATACACAATGTTATTCAATTCTAAAAATATATATTTATATAATAATCCTTTAATATTAATTTTTTTACTTATAATATTTCTTTTAAAGTCCAGAGGCATAGAGGTCCAGAGGCATATTATATTAAGATAAATTATATATTTATTTTTAGGTCAACTGAATTATGTTTTTTTAAATAGTATAAAATGTCATTATCGTCATTATATTGAAATCTCGTGCAATATGATTGCAATTTCTTTTCTTTAAACCTAACTATTTTCGGTACATTTATTATTTCATTTTGTTTTTGTACCAATTCAGTCGTTGCAGACGCATGCTCATCTGTATTGATTCAATAAATATATACAATAGGATGTTTAATTCTTACAAGCTGAGATAGGCATGGGCGGATAGACCATTTTTGGCCTACCGGGAAACTATTAAAAGGGGCCCCAAAATGAAAAAAACTAGAAGTACTTTAATTTTTTACAGGCGTATAGCTATTTTTCCTATGTTCCATGTGTGTTAGACAAAGACAGAAAATCTCCGTTTCCAATCTCATATCAAAAACTGTTTTGCGCGGGACAACTTTTATCTTTCTGTGTTTGTACTTTGTAGTAGTGGCTCCAAAATTTCTGAACATATCGAGTAGAAAATTATCTATGCAACAGCGTGCCTATATTTTAGATAACATAAATACGAAAAAAGTTATTTGCTTCTAAACATTTTGTTTTTTTAATTTGCTTATAAAAAATGATTGTATAGTGTAATTAAAAAAAGAAGCACACTGTTGCACATATAAAGTTCTTCTTTACGTGTTGTGAAAATTTGGTAATTCTACAACAAATATGGTGCGAGAAAAGTTGTCCCGCGCTAAACAGTTTTTGCTATGTTGTACATTTGTAAGACGGAGACAACACGTCATGCGGGTGTGTAAGGTAATATGTTATCGTAAAAAGGTATCCGTCGTGACTCGCGACCGTCGTCTTTTCTATGCCGGCTATTGTAATTATTTGTTATACAGAAAATAAGCCGACGTCGCGTCGTTACTAAGGAAATACCTACGACATACAGGCGCATACCTGCACTCACCCATAATACTAATACATATACACAAATACACAATAATAATATTATCTAATCATATAGTGACAAATTTGATTTAAGGTGCGTTTCACCAGCATTAAAATAAAACTATCAAATTCAAAAGATCTTTATCTGAAAAGGTACAAATTAAAGTATATACGTCATAATATAATATGTATGTATACGTATTTTCCAAAAGTTCCATCTAGGTACTCTCTTTAATATTTATATCTGATATTTTGTGTCAACCAATGAGCTGTCCAACGGTCTAAGTGGTGTCCATGTACACCTACCTACGTGACTTCGTCTTAATAGTGGAGGGGTGATCAAGTCTAAGTCTATAAAAGGGCGTACTCCAAGTAATTGAACGCCTTTAGAGTTTTCATTTTTGATCTTATTAGTTATTACTCGCCGTGTATTGATTATACACCTACCTAATCACTGCTACACTTTTATTATATAGTATACTTAGTTTATATTGATCTATAAGTTTTATTCCATTTTATATCACTTAAGTATGTATTTAAAATTTTAAACTGATATAATATAACTAATATTTTAACTCATTTTTATATAGTCAGTGGTACCCAATACTATGTTCAGGTCACGGATCCACGGCTCTAATTCTTAAAATATAACAAATAAAATTACGTATAATACATTAAGTAAAAAAAAGAAATAGGTACTTCAGATTTTTGTAGCCACAAATTAGCTTTAGGGGTTTTATAATTTATTTTTAGAAGTTCGGTGCCACTGTATATAACTACTGGTAATTTTTCAAGCATGCTCGTCCACCACTTTTTTCCTCACTAAAAAAAAAATATACATACATAGTTATATTATTAAATTTAAGTGATTTCATGGTTTTGGTAATTTATGTGACTTTTTACATTTTGCAGTATGTATGAAATAGTATTGTCATCGAAAACCATATTTGAGGAAATCAATGAAGCTTGTGGTTCTTTTGCAGTAGCCCACTGCGTATCAGAAGATTTTCAGATGAGTAGGGGTGTTGCGGTGCAGTTTAAGTAAGTTTAATATACATATTTCATATCTATTATAGTATTTTTTCAAAAATATAAATGACGTACTTACTTAACAGTTAAAAAATATATATTTGGGAGTTACAATTTAAAAATATGACGTCTGAATACTTATTTTCATTGTTTAATGTAATTTATACTTAAGTTGATTTATGTTACAGGCTGAACTATGGCCAGGTTAGTGTCCTCCTGGACCAACGGGTCAGAGTCGGTGGGGTAGCAGAAATCAAGGTTGAAGAGGAAAAGGTTTTTTATATTTTTTACCTAGTAACTAAAGTATTATACTACCACAAACCGACTCTCCAGTCCCTAGCTACCACATTGGTACAGTTAAAGGATAGACTGAAAGACTTAAAAATTAATTCGTTAATAATCCCGAAACTGGGCTGTACCTTAGATGGACTGAATTGGTACCAGGTCCATGGGTTATTGAAAAATACATTTGACGAAAGTGATGACCTGCAATTTAAAATCCAGTACGTGTGTTACCTCCGACCGACACACACGTGTGCCACGGTCACCGTAAAACGCATTTATATAGCTTCCGATAGCAGTAATACTCTATGAACAGCAATTAAGAAGGTATGTAGACACACTATTGTTATCCATAGTTACAGCAGGTGCCTAAAACACTCTCTCCATATCCAAAAATATGGACCTCACCAAACCCAACTCCCTCGACTTTTCACAGTACGTTCCTCAAACCAACAACACTAAAACTTTCGCCGAAACCACAGCAAATATACAATTTCCTAAAAAAGATCAAGCAATCGTTTTTAACTCAATCGAAGATGTCCCTCAAATAGAGTATATTAAAGCTTTCAGTCAACTCACTTCACCAACCAACATAACATTCGCCTCTAGAATATCTAATAACAGATTTTGCATTTATTTCGCAAATAAAAATATCGTGGAACAAATCATTAGCCAACAGTCACACATCGTCATTAATAACTCAAAGATAACATTCCGTCGTCTAATCAACCCAGCCAAACGAATAATACTATCTAACGTACAGCCGATTATCCCTCATGATGTAATTAAAAACGCTATCGAAAATTTGTCAATTAGAATACTATCACCGATAACTTTTATAAAGGCCGGCTTCGCTAATGACGAATACGGGCATATTGGCAGCTTCCGCCGTCAATTATATATAAACCCAGACGATAATGATAAATTACCCAGCTCAATACTAATAGTATTCGAGCAAACTGAATACCGTATCTTTATATCAGATGATACGGTAATATGTTACTTATGTAAACAATCTGGCCACACTTCCAATCGTTGCCGTAAGGCAACAGAATATAAAACTACTGATTCTCAACTGCAACACCAAAGTACTATCTCAGACGGCTATGACGCAGATAATACCAATGTACAACATGATATTGAACATCTATCCAACACTTCACACATTAGTCAACCACCTTCACAAGAACAAGTAGAACAAGTTAAAAGACCAGCGTCTTCATCTACTTCTAGCAATTTACAGACGGATAATGTTCCCCCCACAGAAAATATAATTAATTTATCTCAAACAAAAACTAACGCGCAAAACACACCAACCAATAAGAGCTCATTAGCAACAAAATTAATAGAGTCACAATCCAAAGAAAAAAAAGCAAACAATTCGTCAACAACACATCCCACAAATCAAACGACTAATGATAACAAACTTAAAGCAAACAATTCAACACAACCGCCTCCAAAGAAACCAAAACGATCAAACTCCGTCGAACAAATTATAGTTAAATTAGACGAGTCGTTATTACCAGCCAAATTGGAATTCGAAAAAATACCCAATCTTAAAATAAATTTTAACCAACTAAAATACATAATAGAAAACACACTTAGCATCCCGAACCCCTCTAGTGTTCTAAAGGAGTTCAACATAGCACCAATGGAAATGATCGAGATTCTGGATTCAATCCGCCCCAAGATAAGGAATCTTAGCATCAAAAATAGACTAACCAGACTTTCCAACTCTTTACTTGAGATAACTCTAGACACTGACCCTACCATAAGGCAATAAAAAAAAAAAAAAATTAAACTTACGCATCTACATGTCCTTAATACTACAATGGAATCTGAACGGGTTTTTCAAAAAACTCGACGAACTTAAAATCATCTTATCAGAAATAAATCCCGAAATAATATGTCTGCAAGAAACAAATTTTAAATATGATAACACAGGAAAATTACCAAATTACACAGGATTCAGTAAACACCGAACTGCTGGAGCTAGAGCCAGTGGCGGAGTAACAATATACGTAAAATCTGAATATCCCAGCAAAATTATCAATATTAATACGCATTTCGAAGCTATAGCAGTATCAGTGAAGCTAAGACAGTTAGAAATTAATATATGTAATATATATATCCCCAATCAACTTGACTTCACCCAAAATGACATTGAAAATCTCTTAAACCAAATACCTACTCCCTTCATTATCACCGGAGATTTTAACAGCCATAACCTCATGTGGGGATCTATGAACACCGATAGGAGAGGAAAAGAAATTTATAAAGCATTTGGTAAAGATAGCATAGTAATCCTGAATAGCTATGAACCCACCCACATAAACATTGCCAACGGACAAATGTCCAACATTGATTTATCACTCTCCAATGCATCGCTAGCACAAAGACTAGAATGGATTGTATATAAAAACATAACTAGCAGTGACCACTTTCCAATCATCATCAAATATATACCACTGACTAACGATCCTTCTCCGGTCGAAAGGTGGAATCTAAAAAAACCCAATTGGACACTATACTCTGAACTATTGGAAGAAAAGATTACAAATATAAAAGATACAGAAACAGTAAATATCAATACACTTGTAAATACTTTTACCAACTCAATCTTACAAATAGCAAATATAACAATAGGAAAATCAACCTCCAAGAATGGAAAACCTAAAGTACCTTGGTGGAATCATAACATTAAAACTGCTATCGAAGAAAAATACAAGGCTTTAATACAATTCCAATTATCCAAATCCCAAGAGGACTTTATAGAACTTAAAAAACTCAGAGCGAGAACAAGGTACTTGATTAAAACCAGTAAAAAATCATCGTGGGAAAGCTTCACAAATAGTATCAATGCAAAATCCGACACGAAAATAATATGGAATAAGATCAAATCCTTAAAAGGACTCAACAGAACTCGGAAAATAAATCTTATAGACAATAATTCCGACCTACTATGTAACGAAGAATTAGTTGCTAACCTATTGGGCGAATATTTCTTCAATAACAGTAGTGATTCTAACTACTCTCCCCAGTTCCAAACCTACAAACGAAAATGCGAATTGGAAACAATTCCAAATACTATAGACCAAAATAAGATGGACCAAAGCCAACTAAACCTACCAATCACTATGGAAGAAATCACATACACTCTTTCAAGATGTAAAAGCCACAGTCCCGGTCCTGACAGCATACCTTACATTTTTATTCAGAACTTCGGACCTAACACCTTAAAACTAATGCTGGCACTGTTTAATAGAATTTTCACTGAAGGTTCATGGCCAACCACATGGAAAAAAGGCACAATAATACCAATTTCTAAGAATGAAAAAGATAAGTTCAATCCCGAAGGGTATAGGCCAATAACTCTTTTAAATACCTTGTCAAAAATACTTGAAAAAATTATTAATTACAGACTCACTTGGTTACTAGAAAAAGACAAATACCTTTCTAAGCAACAATACGGTTTTAGAAGAAATAAAAGCACAATTGATACTCTTACTCATATTAATCATGAAGTAAATCAGACCTTTAAGAACAAACAAATTATGGGGCTAGTCAACCTTGACATATCCAAGGCTTATGACTCAACATGGAGACACAACATCTTAGTCAAGCTTAACCAAATCCTGTGCAAAGGCAAGATACTCAATCTGATAACCAACTTCCTAATAGACCGGCATTTCAAAGTCAAAGCTAACAATCACTATTCTGAGGAATTCATCCAGGAAAACGGAGTACCACAAGGTTCAGCATTATCGGTAACTCTTTTTCTTATAGCCATAAATGACATAACCAAAAGCTGCTCACCACCCGTAAAATGCAACTTGTTCGCTGATGATTTCAGTTATTCATGTCGTAGCAACAATATAAGTTCAATACAAAAATTCCTACAAACAACCACCGACAATTTAACAGAATGGGCCAATAAGACAGGATTCAAATTCTCACCAACTAAATCCAACATCATCATATTTACAAAAAAAAGAAATGTCAGCGAACTAATAATTACACTAGACAACACTCCAATTCCAACAAAAGAATCAGTCAAAATACTTGGTATTTTCTTCGACCGCAGGCTCACATGGGCAACCCACATACGCTAGCTTAAAACATCTACCAGTCAAACACTTAATATTTTAAAAATATTATCTCACACTTCCTGGGGAGGTGACTCTAGTACACTTATCAAAATTCATAAGGCAACCATTCAATCGAAAATATATTACGGATCAAACATATACAAAACAGCATCCCGATCCATTTTAAATGCAATAGATAGTACCAATAATACTGGACTAAGGCTCGCGATTGGCGCTTTTCGCAGCAGTCCAATTTACAGCATTTATAATACAGCAGGCGTACCCATACCTGAGATTAAAAGGAATGACCTATCGCTTAAATACATGGTTAGATCCTATATATGTAACAACCTACCACTGCCATCAGAAAACTCCGATTTATATGATGAACTAGGGGAAAACGGCATTATTATGGATCAATCAATGACGAGAGAACAATTGGCCCCACCCGCATGGACTTCCTCTTTCGACATAAATACGGAACTCAGCTCCTTTCTAAAACAACAAACTCCACCAGAAATTTACAGAAGACACTTTCAAAGCATATTAGAAAATTACCGAGATTATCAAGAAGTTTACACGGACGCATCCAAGACACAAGACCAAGTAGGAATTTCAATAATACTAAGGAACCAAAACGTAACATTGAAGCTACCGAACACCTGCTCCATATATACGGCCGAGGCTATAGCGATACTTGAGGCGATCAAAACAACCTTAGATGATGAACACCCCAACCACATAATATTCAGTGACTCCATGGGTGCCCTTAATAGCATAAAAAACCAGTTCAAACCCGGCGAAATAGCGATAAAAATACTGAACAAATTAAATGAAGCCTTGCATAAAAACAAACAAATCACTCTCATGTGGGTCCCCGGGCACATCGGCATCGAAGGAAATGAACTAGCTGATAAACACGCTAAGCTCGCAGTCACAAGCTCCGTATGTAAAATTATTTTTGGATCCACCTACAACGATCTCAAAAAATACATAAATGATATAACTAACACCAGATGGCTCAATACTTGGAAACAACAAAACACCAAGCTTAACAGAATTAAAAGCAGTACATTTAGGTGGATAAACAGCTCTTTAAACAGAAAAGAAGAATCGGTACTCAACAGATTGAGAATAGGACACACGCGACATACACACGGGCACCTAATGGCTAAGGAAGAACCACCATTATGCGAAGTATGTGGTGTCCAGATATCAGTGAAACACATAATAACAGAATGCCTAAAATACCAGCAAGAACGTCAAAACACCGGATTGGACACGACCCTCGACATCGCATTGGGACCCAATGCTGTGGAGAACAATAAGATGATCCTTTTTTTGAAGTCAACAGGTCTTTATAATTTAATTTAATGATTCACATTTGTTTTATTTCTTTCTTATATAAATACTTAGAAACCATACTGTTATAACTTATCTTTAATATTGTAATCCCCTACAAAAAAAAAAAAAAAATGATGTAAAAATCTTAAACCATGTAAACATACCATAACTGTAACTAATGGCCATGCAGTTGCCGAGTTTTTGTATTTGATCAATAAAAAAAAAAAAAAAAAATTTAAAATCACCGTTTGCGATCCCGAAAACGTAAGATTTTATTATTATTAACCATTTATATGCATTAAACCTAATGCAATATATAAGTATAATCTTAAAATATGTAACTTATGTAGTTTCAGATACCATCTCACCATCTGGCCCCAATAGACGAGAAGTGTATTGATTTTTTTGATGTTTCGACAAGTTCCACAATAAATATTCTACCCGTCGAAATTACGTGCGCGACAACCAACATAATGTTCCAAAAATGTTTAACGAGTAAACTTTTAACGCCAGAGTAATTTCATTGTTTTTATATTTAAATTTGTATCAATATACAAAACGTTGAACTTGTAGTTAAATTGTATTTTAATTCAATGTATATTTCAACAGTTTGTGGGCTACGGTGCGCCTAGGACAGGTCATCCGAGTCAGAGATAACTTCCTGATATGGGCAATAGAGGGCGATAATGTGACATTTTTTCAAACTTTGGAAACCCAAATTAATGAAACAGTAGCGATGGGACTCGATTCATCAATTTGGACATTTCCAAAGTCTGAAATGATTCACTATACCGCATTCTCGTCGTTGCTAAGGTCACTGTTGGCCGACAATGAACGGCGGTATAGAATAGTGGTGTGCGACCGAAATATGTAAGTTGATCATCGAATAAAATGTATTTACCTATATGTAAAAATAATGAAATATATTTTACAAAAAAATGCTATTGAGTAATAATCGTCACTTGTTTATAAAATATTGAAGGACCACGCAAGTCAAGCAATTTAGAGGGAAGTGGCCCCGAATCACAACTAGCCACCGGTCCTATTCACAGAATCCCAATAATGCCATAATGGTACAACAACGAGACCAAACCAGCTGCAGTGTTCGTGGTCGTGGCGGTCGTCTGGCGGGACGTGGTGGACGTGGTGGACGTGGTGGACGTGGTGGACGTGATGGAAGTGCCGAACATAATATGTCCACTGCAGTTTATTCTGAGGCTTTACGATCAATCGTGTCAGTCGGTTAGTTTCAACAATATAATTTTTTTTTAATTAAATTGAATAGATAATTATAATTTAAGTAAGAAAATAAAAATGTTATATTGTTATTTGAATAGTACAAATGGTCACACAAATTCCCCAAAGCCAGACAACGCTACAAGCATCATCGGCACCGTATTATAATTATCCGCGTGGACGGGCACGAGGACGGCCACCAATAATATGCCACGAGTGCAGGGCAACTGGCCACATACGACGAGACTGTCCAAACAAGTATTGTAAGTACCTAGTGGCTTGTCTAAAATTATATATTGTCTATTTTAAATTGAAAACTTCAATGAACCGTTCGTAATTCATAATAATAATAATAATAATAATAAATGTAATAGCATATACGCCATTTCACGTATAGAATAATATTTAGTATATTGTAGGTAGTAGACACCTTATAATTAAAAATTACGTAACTGATGAACGCTAAACATTTTCATAACAATTTCCACAAAAAGTCTAAACAAGTAATTTTAGATTCTGAGCGGTCATAGGTTAGGTTACAAATACATAGGAACAATTTTTTTTTTAAGCATTCAAAGTTCAAAATATGACAAAATTTATCAAAATCTCGAAAATTATCAATCATTGTAGTTAAAAAATTATAAAATGTTCAGTTTTTATAACTAAAGATTGAAAATACCTACTTAGTAAGATATTATAGACTGACTAACCGTCTTCGATCAGAATCGTTTTTCGTATACAATGATATTATATCATTGAATTCAAATTTAATACCGGGCGTATATCGATTCCGCCGATTTTATATCGATTCCGCCGGCTATTGATTCCGCCGGCTACTGTTTAAAATATCTACATATCGATTCCGCCGGCTATTAATTCCGCCGGCTACTGTTTAAAATATCTACATATCGATTCCGCCGGCTACTGCTTATCCCTCCCCTAAAATTTAGACTATACATTTTAATATTTTATAATATATTCACATACACATATTAATCAGAATATATACATTTTGTTTTTGAATTATATAATTACTATAACAATTTATACAATTTAGACTATACATTTTAATATTTTATAATATATTCACATACACATATTAATCAGAATATATACATTTTAGTTTTGAATTATACAATTATTATTAACATTTTATACAACAAGAGGGGGGAATAAACAGTAGCCGGCGGAATCGATATGTAGATATTTTAAACAGTAGCCGGCGGAATCGATATAAACCTTTTTTCTAAACAGGTAGTTTAGGCGGAATCAATAACTCCCCTTAATACCATCCGTTATAGTGACCCACTTCACACTTGTAACCTACCTACTAAGTTTATGTTCCGCATATTTCCAATATAGTTATGTAGTTTTTGTTACTAAGGTAAATTGAACTTTCATGCAAGACTAACATATTAAACTAAGTAGGTATATACATAATACTACATATTCTATCATTAAAAATACCAAATAAATACATAAGAAACAGCTAACCTTTACTAATGACTTATTAGGGCCGGTACACGCCAGCGTTAGTTTCAATGTACGATATTTCATCGCAAATATATTTTATATAGATAAAAAAAAGCACATGTGATAAAATATCGTGCATTGAAAATAACGCTCGCGTGTACCAACCCTTAGAGTTTCGGCAAAATAACAGTTCGTCAGTGCAAAACATGAAATAATACGTCTGATTGCGTAAAAAACAATATTTTAATATAACCTTAGTTACGGATGTATATTATGAAAAATAAAATTCTAAAGCACAGATTTTAATGTATTTGTTTTTTTTTTCCAGGAATCTTAGAAAAATGTTTTTAACATAAAAAAACAACACCTGCCTAATATCCCTACTAATAATTATAGCAGCAATTATACACATTAAATATATTTTTTTTTAACTAATTAGTAATTATACACATTATATTATATATTTTTTTATACTAATTAGTAATTACTAATTACGTATACAAGTACATTTATCATTTATTCATTATTGGAAACGTGAGGGAACGCAGAGTTAGGTACCTCGACGTTTTAATCAATAATTACTTCCATACATTTATTATAAATTTATACATTATATTATTACAATAATACATTAACATACTGCACCTATTTTAATATTTTACTATTACCTATTATGTAACCCATATGGTACCCAGTTATGCACTTTTTAATGTCAAAACACATTTGTAATGTAATATGCATAAGAAAAACAAATATCTGTTTAATAATTTATATTTATATTTATATTTCATAATTGTATGTTGTCAGCTATAGCCTATATTATATTATTATTATGTAATAACAGGATACTATGCCAATTGAGATTAACTGTATTATAATTATATATACCTACATACACTTATAACTAAAATCTATATATTTATTTAGAGGTGATACATGAACATAAGTCTTATATTATAATTGTTTTGTTTTATTTTTAATGTTAATAGTTGGTATTTGATGTTAAAAATAAGGAATACACGTTTTGCAATTAAATATTGATTCAAATTTAAAAATAAAAAAGATATACAGCATACATATTTATTGGACTGCAGTGTAAAAGTTCTAATCCCATATTGTAAATATAAACTTAAAGATACTATATATATCCTATATACAGAACGTATACACATTTATTTTTCTGGACCTCAAGTCCCCCACGTGCCGCACTTGGGTAGTACATTTTTAAAATGCTTATTGAACGCCCTTT